AATTATTAGGGCCAATGCTAATCCTTCCCCCTTCCCTTTAAGGGATCAACATTTATCTCCCAAGTTTTTGAAGACATGAGCACTTTTCTGTTCTCCTGCCATTTTATTTCATAAAATAAGTGATACTTTATATTAAAAATAGAAATAGCAATACTGAAAAGTGTATATCAATTAAATTGAATATTTACATCTATAAAATAGTGTTATTTTTCTCATTTGGGGGAATAATTAAAAAATTTCTCCACAGATTGGCACTGATGAAGGTCAAACCATCGATTTACAAGTGAGAATAACAGGCAGAATGTTTCATTAAAGGCAGTACAATCTATCAGCTACAGAGGTGGGTTTAGAACTTGTCTCTAAACTCCCAATTAGTGTTTATCTGCCGTATCACACTGGTTCTTGAGAACCACATGCAGAGTTGGTCTCAAAAAGCACAAAATACTTAAAGGAAGACTGGACATACGCATAGTAAGGTTCTAATGTGATAAAGTCCCGAAAAGAGGTACAGTGTACTAGCAGTTCTGAGGAGACAGAGCTCTTTTGGAATGGAAAAAGTAAAAAAGGTTTAGGGGATAGTGTTTTCACCTAACTTGAAGAGTACAAGTTAACCAGACAGATAAAGAAATAAAGGAAAGACCTTCCTGGAAAAGAAAACTACATGTAAAAGCAAGGCAGCTATGAAGTTTAACAACAGAAAACTAACTCGATGGCTGCACTTTTGTAGAGGTGTGATGATAACAAAGGAAAATGGGCCTAGATATAGCTGGCCATTAGTCACAGTGGGCATTAAAGGAAAGTCTGAGATCCTGGACTTTGCTGTCCAGACACTGAGGAGTCATTGACAATTTTTTTTGTTAGTGATACTGGGAATTGAACCCAAGGGACTCTACCACTGAGCTCTACCCATTGCTCTTTTTTACATTTTTTATTTTGAGACATAGTCTCTATAAATTGCCCAGACTTGCTTTTAATTTGTGATCCTCCTGCCTTAGCCTTCCAAGTAGCTGGAATTACAGATGTGCACCACCATACCCAGCTCATTGACAGATTTCACAGATAAGTGATGCAATCAGTACTATGCCTTCACCAAAATTCATCTTGTACGGGATGACTTGTGAGACATTCAGCTTGCTGTCCAGGTGACCTGTTTGGAAGCTCTCTTAAGAGCCCAAGGTTAGAGGAAGGCCAGAACAAGGGCAAAACCAATAACTTTGTGGCCCACAAGTTCAACTGACTTGTGTTTTAATAAAAAAAATACTTTTAAATGAAATTTTGTTACTTGTATATGTTGACACTATTATTTATTTTATATGCTGCTTGAGATAGATCTGTTTTCTAAATGTGATCCAAGCAGGCTAGGCACATTCAACCACAGGCTGCATGTTGGACATGCCTAGTCTAGAGGTAGAACTTGTGTGAAGAGTCAGCTGTCCATCTGGAGAGACAAGAAGGAAATTTTCAGGATACAGGCTTTAACAACAGGGAGAGTTGGGAACAGTCAAAAACCAACAGAAGATTCAGGAGTATTTTGTTTATCAGTAGAGAAACAAGATATTTCTACCTCTCACGTGTAGACTTGATAAAAATATATTGGTCTAGAATTTTTGTAAATGTTCACAGACATGAACAATTTTCAGTATTTGAAAGCCATGTGTTGATTACCTTAGTTTAATGACAATAAATTCCTCCTAAACCTCATTTAAAATCATGCAGAATTAAAGAAGAATCACAGAACTTCAGAGCTATCAGGGACCTTGAAGAGTAAGATTAACTTCTTATTTCCTAGAAGCAAAAATTGAAGTCCAGAAAGATATAATAACTTTTTTAGAGTGACATAAATAGCCACTGGAAAATTTAGGACTCAAAGGCAGGTTTGCAAATGTCCAGCCCCTCGTTGTTTGTGAAACAGGACACTGGTTTTCCCTAGGAAGAGTTGGGAACATTTCATTTCAGTTCCCTTCCCTTGTCTTTGTCATGTTTCTGACACTATCGAGCACTTACCACCACCATTTACCTTCTTTTCTCTCCCATAGACCTTCTAACTATTCCCTTAAAAAGAAATACATAAAGTATTTTGTCATAAAGTCTTAACTATTCTCCTAGACTGTGAAAGGGAATAAAAACACAGCAACAGGTGAATATAGATCACAAAAGAACATTTTCTGCTCTCTGGCATCTTCGGGACAAATTGAGAAGTACTACATAACAGCTCTGACCTATAGGATGCAGACTTCAAGGTATCCGGGGGAAAGACCTGAGGTTATTGCGTTTTATTAGAAGGCACTTACTACTGTACTTAATCACATCTACATAGTCAATGGGAATTCAAAACATTCATCTTATCCAGGGGGTGGGGGCTTGTTAAACAAACAAAACTGGTCTCTTGATCTGAAAAATGGATGAATTAAGTATGACTCTTCTACTTTGAACATCAGTACAACATGAATTCATCGACATGACAAAAATAGAGAGATTAAAGTAGGTAACTACTGGTTATTATCCATTTAGGGGCTAACATAGCTCCTCCAATTCCCAACAATCCATTTTCTTCTCTTTTTTTTTTTTTTTTTTTGGTACCTGGAATCATACTCAGGACCTTGCACTTGTGAGGCAGGCAGCGAGATCACTGAGCTAAATCCCCAGCCCTACATAGGATCTTTCAATGATAAGGTCAGAAGTCAAACCAAGTAGGCCTATGTGCTGCTAGGTTTCATGGTGTTAAGCATGGCATCCTGCCCTTATCCCAACCCAGAAATGGACAAAATATTTATCTGAGTGAAATATACTCAGATGCTAGAACAGTGTTGAAAAAGCGGAGGAAAGGGAAGGGATTTCAGGTGCCCATGACTGATTCTTTTCCAGTGTCAAAGCTGTAGCTTCCAACTTTCAGCTTGAGTTACCGTACAGCTTTCCTGGCTTCTAGACCCAACCTCCAGGAGGTGATTCTGTGTTTATTCCTCAATATTCCATCTAGATCTACAAATTAATTCTTAAATTTTGAATATGTTTTACCACATCATGCCTTCATGAGAAACTAATGGTAGCTGAAGAAGTCTTGGGGAAAGTCCAATCAGTTATTCCAAGAGCTGAGACTCTTACTCCCCCTCCTCTGATCCACTGCTAATCCCAAGTTTCTAGGTGTTCCAAGGGCCATGTCTATATTGCTGATATATCTTGTATTAGAGCTTGAAAAACATCATGATTATTTACGTTTTCCATACGGCCCCTAGTCGCCTCTGCATTTTTACCATCTAAGGAGTTTGAGATGGTTTCATGGCTTTTAAATAGCATCCAAAGCAAACTAAATCTCTTTTTCTACTTTATATCAAATGTGACATTCACAAGGAAAATCTGAAATTGGGAACACTTTATAGATGCTAAGAAGATCTGAAAGTCGTATAGTACTTAACATTTACTGGACTAAAGCTTTGTCATATATCAAATGCTTCTCATGGTAAGGAATATGTAAGGAACGTTATCTAGACACACCCTGGAAGATATATTCTTTCTATATGAGACAAAGATTACAAAACTCAGCTTCATCTGCCTTGTACACAGAAGTGCTCAATAAATGATTAGTAAATAAATGTTTTCCTCAATTGCTTAAAGCACAAAAGTGTCCAATCCAAAAGGCACCATGAAAACTCGTACAAGTTTATTTTGCTTCAAATGAGCCCCCAATAAAAGCATGATGATTCTTAAGCAAGACAAGCAATGAAAATTTTCTATGTTTCATAAAACGACTCACTACATGATCCTTTTTAGTAGACAATTTGCAAAAGTATAAAACACAATTTAAAATGGGTTTGCGTTTCAAGAGGTAGGGATGTGGCTCAATGATAGAGCACTTGCCTAAAATGCAGCAAGGCCTTAGATTTTAACCCCAGCATGACAAAAGGGATTGAGGGGAGGGGGGTCACATGCATCTTTTAGGGCATTCCATAAAAAGAGATCACTTGTAAATCCATCTAGCCACTCTCCTCAAAAAAAGAATAAAATGGGAGAAGAGAGGTTGAAGGCTGGGAGGAGAATGGAGAAAAATAAGATTAAAATATATTTTGTACAGGTACAAATTCCCTATATGAATGTAACAAATATGTAATAATAAAAAATAAAGTTAAAAAAAGAAAAAGAACAACAATTAGAATGACAACAATAGTTCCAGATACCGTTTACCTGCTCTTCCTCATTCATACATCTCCCGCATTTGTCTAGCTAGTTCCTATGTGTGTGTCAAACACCAGAAAGAGTATTAGCACTCCCAGAAAAACTTCCTTATTTCCCAAACCAAGAAATTCTCTGTTTACATGTTTGCTTTGAATTAATCTATAGCATTATCACTGTGTGTTTATGTGTCTTTTACTCAAAACTTCTTTTTTTAAGGCACAGAATTACCTCTTTAGCTCATTTCTTTGAGATTGGAATTGGAACATAGTTATTTCTTAATAAATATCTGTAGAATGAATGAACACATTACATACATAAAAACTTACAGATCTTAGGGTGTGGCTGGTGATCACATGGAGGTAAATTTAGTCTGAAAGTGTAAATGGAAGTGGTGAGTCTTAAATAGTTTGAGGGCTTGATGACTTTGATGTAGCCTGGTGGAGGGATACACAGAAAACTTCAGATAAGAGGGCAGGCATGAATCAAACCTCAGTACTTGCCAAGGAATTCCAAATGATGGGGATCAGTTGGTGGTATGTGGTAGAGATCATGATCACAAGTACAAGTACAGAGAAACATGAAGATAACTTTTAGGAGGTTTGGTCCTCTTGATCAAGGATCTTGTCTCTGATCTAAATGTAGACTTTGCCAGCTGTCACTAAGCATTACCATATTGTCATCACTAAGGGCCTCTATATACTACAAGACTAGTGTCTGTCATTCTGACATTTCAGTGCCATAGTGAAGGACTAAGTTTATCTTACCAAAAGCAAGAAAACTCTCCCTTAAAAAGCAGATGTAACAGAGGACTCTCAAGAGCAGACTCTTACCTGCTGGTTCTGATAGGCTGTGACTGTGGTAAACACAGTCTCGGGAAAGTTGAATGTTTTCACCCCATCCCCTACAGGGACAGGCTTGGTGGGGGAAAGGTCACTGCTGAAGTCCTTGCGGATCACATGAACTCGAGGCTGGTATTTGTGCATAGAGTGCAGAATGATCTGAAATGAAAAGAAGAAATATGCTGGGCTCGACTTTAAGGTCCCTACACGTTCTCAAGTTCTCATGCAAAACAAACCACAAGAAGGAAGTATGGTAGGAAGAATGGAGACTGGGAGTGGGATGTACAGGAAACTAGAAATCAGTATATTCACCCCTCAGAGAAAGAATTAAGTCAGTAGATTACACTGTATGGAAATATACAGTAGGGTATCCTTATTATGGATGATTGATTAAATATATTTGTTTTAGTTTGAAAAATACTGAAAGATCGTGCCCGTACAAAGGACAACACCCACCTGAAAAGTCTCAGAACTTCTACCCTATGTAGAGTTGCTCCGTCCAACCTTAAATTTTTAGTATGGTGTCCTTAAACTCTACACACTATTATTTGCACTTGTTTTTGAATTTATGAACATTGTTTCATGTCATGTGAGTGTGAATGGCATACAGGTGTTCTCACTTCCTCAGAAAATTGTCATTTCCTTGAAACTAGGAGTCCTGGTTTTATCTTCTTCAATCATTCCTTAGTCCCCAGTATGGAGCCTGGCATTTAGTGAAAATTTAGTACACGTTTTATTAGCAGAGATAAATTAATAACATCAGTTCTTCCAATTATACCTGAAAAGCCTTGAGACTTCATCTTCTCTTATACATTTATAAATTTCTTAAAAAATCAGCCAAAATGTCATTCTCATTTCCCTTAGTTTGTTATTGTGTGAGTTATTTAACTGAATGATGCAATTTCTTGTGCTATTGTTTAATTTGTCTTGCTTGTGTTTCTTTCTTGCCTTCCTGACTGGACTATAAGTCCTTGCAGCAAAAAGACTTGGTTCTATAAACACAAGCTGATACACAGCAGATGTTTGCTAAATGTTAGACCTGTAATAAGTGAAATTTAATTTTTATGTTTATTTGCTTTAAATGACTTGATGTGGCATGGAGATTTTAATTTTACCTATTTGAAAAAACCTAGGGTTAGTCAGCTCTAAAGTAAAAGGGGGAAGAGAGAGAAAGATGGATATGAGATTCTTTAACTCACATGTCCTTGATCATCCAGTTCATTGTTGGTCAGCTTGAGTTTGTCAAAACTGACCACCTGTCTCATCCAGGTATCTCCAGAGGCTAGAGAATCGGGGTGTATATAAACCCTTGGAGGCACAGGGGAATCGGCATTGCCAGCCACCATCCACTTAGAGCTGTGATACACATACCTGGAATAGGGAGAGTAGAGGATTCAGAAACAGACACAGAGAGAAATCCAGTGGTCCAGGAAACAAGTGGAGACAAAGATGACAAGAATGGAGAAGCAATGGGAGAAGTAACAGACATAGTGAATATCAGTGAGAAAAACAGAAAGGCAGATAATGAGGGGAAATGAAATAGAGATGCAAATGGACAACGGGATAGAGGGGGAGGGCAGGAAAGTGTTGTGTTAATGATCAAAGCTATGGCTCTCCTGGGGAAAACATTCTCACAGTCCTTTTCCTTTCTCCTGCCTCTCCTTGCCATGCACCCCTGTGTGCACACAGGCATGCTGAACCCATGTGTCTGGCTAAGGCAAAGGCATTTTACTGCAACCTTTCACCTTTCAAATGCAAACCATATAATCTTTTGGCCACTTGTTCAGGATTTTGTTCCTTATTAAAAACATCTTCCATATTGTCCTATAAAATGCTGCCATGTGCAGAGACTCTCCAAGCCCCTCACTTGTTAACCATTTCCTTGCCGCCAGTCTGAACTCAGGCATCTCTGTGAAAGCAGAAGACCCCTGACTCAGCACAACCATTCCCGGAACACTGCTAACCTCTCTCAGCTAGCCCTTTCTCTGATGAACCTAGTCTTGAAATGCATTATTTTCCACATTCTTTTCCCATGAAGCCACAGGGCATGAGATGTTCACAGTAGCAGAAGAAGTCGATTTCCCAGACCTCAGCAACTCTCCCATGGCACTGAAGAGTCATCTTTCCTGCTTCTGAGTCCTGATGGACCACAGAGGACCTGGATCCTGGCAAGTGAACACACTCAGTCCAAATTAAGCTCCCTGCAATTCAGACCATATCTCTCCTGGCCAGCTCTCTCCCACTACCATGCTAGTCCTGGCCTTCCCCATCCATGTCTCACCTCCAAATTCACAGATTCAGGGCCAAACTCTCAGACTTCAGATGTCTCCAAAATGGCCCATCATTTACTGATTTGACTGAGATCTCAAGAGATCAAAATAAACCACAACTCTTTTTCTAAGAACTACATAGAAGCCGTCCAAGAGACTTGGAGACTATGCTGACTTTTAATGACTTTGAGAGAAAATTATTTAGAAAATATTGTCATGTCCATATTAAGGACAACACTTCTCTCTAAAGAGATATTCTTCTTGAGGTCTTACCTAATTCTCTATACATCAGGTGTACGATGGGGTATAGTGTGCTGATCTGCTTTTTCCCTTCTCCAAAATAATTCATCCCAACTCATTTAGTATTTCACAAACTGAATCATTAAATGAATATATTAATCACTTTCAATGCTAATTTTAGGCTCAAGATTTATTTAGCTTTTGCTTCCCTGGAGGACATTATAAAATTCCAGTCTATCCAGTCACATAGGGAGGATTCAAGACCAGGATTATTGAGCCCTGATCTCCTACCTCTGATTATGACATCCTGCCTGGTACTATGCCACAGTCCACTAGCATAGCCTCTCTGTTCCCTGTGTAGTGTGCATTGTTAAAATGCTTTGCATAGTGAGTTTAAAGAACTGTCTTGAGATAGTGATGATGCCCCCAATCCCATATCCCAGAGTCATTCTTACCTGTATCTTTTATTGTCCACAGGCACAATGTCCATTGCTATGTAGTACTGCTGGTGTGGATCCAAGCCAGTGATTTTCACTCTCATAGCAGGAAACATCCTCCTGTGGGAACAAAGCAGTAATGAAGCAGGAGAGGGAGAGAAGTAGTGGGAGTAAAATCTCCAAGAGTGTCTTGTTATTAGCTCTTCCAAGCACGTATCAAAGTCCAATGTCCTCTAATTCTTAAAGTGGGCTGTTTTATTTTCACTTTAGAAATTATCTCTATAAAGTGTAGTGGAGACTTATATTGCTCAAATAACATTTCTTCTTAACTTAAATTGATCCATTTAATGATTCGTACACTCGAGGGACTCATACCATACCCTGCCTTATATTTTAAGTTAATTTTAATGTAACATATATATGTATGTTTGTATCTAACATAAATTACCTATTAGCTATAATATTTTTAAAGGTAGATACAGTAACTTATACCCTTATTACCCAAGGGAATTATCAGTTTATTGTAGGCGATTACAAATATCTTGGCTTTCCATTTTTTCCTTTTCTCATATAATCTCTGTAAATACAAAAGGGTAGAGGGGGTGAAGTGAGGGCAGGGGAATGGGGCAAAAATAAGAACCAAGATATATCACGTAAAGGTACAAGATCCCAGTGACGAATGTAACTGTATTATATACCTAAAATGTACCAATAAATGTAAAAAAAATATCTTGGGCTTGTTGAGTTTACTTGAAAATGACCACTCTAAAAAAACATCTCTCAAGAAAAATAAGAAAAAAATGAAGGAGCTACTAGTCTCAAAACAAGGGGCCACCAAAGGTTTTATTCAATGTGTAAGACTTAGAAAAAGTTCTGCAAGTTCTCAGGCTGTCAATGTGTGTGTCAGAGGAAGGGCCCTGAGGAATAGGAAGCAAATTCCAAATGAATTCTAGTGGCCTCTGGGCAGTACCTTGTTTCTACCACAATGGCTTGTTAAACTTGCCAAAACAAGTGAGGTCAGGATATGGCACTTTACAACTTCTCTCATAATTGAAGAGGAGGAGAGGGAGCAGCCCAAAAGAGGTATTGAGTTTCAACAAGTCCATAAAAAAGTTCACCATTCTTCTTTCTCCATAAGAAAAAAAAAATCAAGGTCTTTTGCATCAAGCCAGACATAAAAAAAATACTCAATTCAAAAACTTGGATTGCCCTGAATGAGCTCTAGGGTGCTTCTACACAAAATGCTGCATTAAGTTGAACCATCTGGGACTAGTTAGTTGAGCTGGGCAGAGCACAGTGCTAATGAGGTCAAGGTCACAGGCTTGATCCACATATGGCCTAATTGGCTCTGCTCCATTTCACAGCCACAGCCTCAGCCATCTTGCAAATGTATACTTGTTGATCACATGAGAGGCTTTCTCTGCAAGTCACACATTCACTACTTATTCAGGAAACACAATCCAAAAAGAAAAGGTCCTCTGGCTGTAACTCAGTGATATCATCATCATATTGGAGGGACACAAGAGAAACCATAGACCTTTAATAGGGAAATCGGCTAATTCTTAAATAGTTGCAAATAATAATATACAGCCATTTCTCTTTTTTCTACTTTATTCTTTTCAGGAGTTTCTGTTGATACATTCTTTTAGATTTTCTCCCCCTACCCTTGTAAGTATAATTTGAAAGTCCTATGCTTTGGTTTTATGGTAAATTAATGAAATGTAATGGCTGGGTACTCTTAATGACTAAATCTACTTTCACTATAGGTAAGGCACTTTGATCCACATTGACAATTTCCAAAACTTACAAGTCATGGTCTACACATTTAAATGCAGATCGATAATTACTTTGTTAATTACAATAACTTACAATTGCCCTGTATGTATACATGATTGGGAAGCATCTTGCCGGGGATAAGGAGGAAGTTCTTGCACCTACTTCTTGACCTAAGGAGATATGGCTTCTCTTACCCACCCATAGATGCTGCATTACATTGAAAGAACTGAATTTTTTTCATGATGACTTCAAGAACAAGGTTCTTTGGAAACAAGGATTTTAATGTTTTTCAGTTTAATAACTGTTTGTCTGGAACTGTCATATGACCTTACGGGAGAAGATACCCATCTCTTCAGTGAGCTATGTGACTTTGGATAAAGTCTGACAAAACAAGCAAAAGGACAAGATAAACTTTAAGGTGTTCCCTTGCTTCAAAATTCTGTTTGAATTCTCAAAAACTTTGTAAGCATTTCTTTGTCTTTTGATCAGTACTTTAGCATAGACTATCAGTTGAATTCATAACATTCAGGAGAAAAAATAATTTTACATATTTTATAAAATGAGATGTGTTTGGTTTTAATGTTATGGCTAAATTTAGAACAGTTCTTTTGTCTTTCAAACTCATTCATCCCTACAAGCACCTCTGTCCATGGTGCTGATTATACCGACTGCTGGTACATTCAAAATGCAAGAGCTGCATGGATTGCAGTAGTTTTAAATCACCACAATTGCAGTTTGGGATGTGGAAAGAAGTAGACAATGGCTAAGATCTTCTTAATGGTTAAAGGGGCCAGTGAAACAAAGATAATTAGCATAGCTAAGAAAAATGGAAATTGGAATTGCATAAAAAAGGAAAATTATGTGAAAAGAATGAAATTCACTAGGGAAATGAAGAGAGATGAAGAAAACTGAAGAGAAAGTCTCTTTTTGCAGCACTAGGGATTGAACCCTGGAATTTTGCACTGAAATACATCCCCAGTCCCTTTTATTTATTTTTTTTTAATTTTAGACAGTGTCTTGTTAAGATGCTTAGTTGTCCAGGCTGGGCTCAAACTTTAAATGCTCCTGCCTCAGCCTCCCAAGTAGCTAAGATTACAAGTATACACCACTGTGCTCAGCTATGAAAACATTTTTAGAATGTTTCTAAGTTGTCCTAGAATTATCTGAGCAGTATGTTAATGTGATAAGAGCACAGCTAAGGCAATACAATACAGAAATGGAATTTAGTTTCTAAACCTCAATAAAGAAGTTTGATGTAACTAAAGAATAAAATGTGTGTCTGTGCAGGAAATGTGTGAATGATTCAAACGTCAAGGTGAACTGGTGAAAACAAATGTGCAGAAGAAATTGTGACATGAGTCACAAGAGAGTTGTCAAGTAGATATTCAAAAGTACTCTACTCACAGACATACAGGAATAAGTGAATGCTGTCAGGAACAGGGATGACTGGAATACAAAGACCCAAAAGCAAAGTGAAAATCCAAAACAAAAACTGGAAAATGTTATAGAAAAAAAATGTAATACTTTGCCTCTCTAAAGACCAATCTGCCAAAAAAAATTAAAAATAAAAAGCTTTTCTTTGAATTACTTTATTTTCTTCCAGGCCTTACCACCAAAAAATATAGAAGAGAACATTAAAACCCAAGCAAAAAAAATGAGATGGCACTGAAAATAATTCTTCTTCAAAGCTGTTCTACCTAAGAAGCCCTTTGGTGTTTTTCTTTTCACTACTAAACCTTTAGAAGAGAGTTCCAGAATATTGGAGGTTCATTTTATTTTTTTAATTTATTTTATTTTATTTTATTTTATTTTATTTGGTACCAGAGATAGAACTCAAGACCTTGTGCTTGCGAGGCAAGCACCAGAACCACTGAGCTAAATCCCTGGCCCTAGAGGTTCCTTTTAACTTCACATTTCTGTGATATCTTATTGTATCTGGAGGTTTCTTCATGTGCATGTAGGCAATCAAAATATTTTTTTACTTTAAATAGCCATGTTCATGGAAATAATTCAGTGATATCATCATCATATTGGAGGGACACAAGAGAAACCATAGACCTTTAATAGGGAAATTGACTTATTGGCAATGAGATCCATACTGGCTTTTGAAAACATAAAAGTAGCATAATTATTTTGCTTAATTGCAGTTAACTATCCCTATATACTCAAAACCTAGTCCAAATTTAGTTTTATCTGAATCATTTTTAGTTTGAATCCATGGGTCAAAAATTACAACAATTTCTTAATAATGATGCAGAGTTATAAGTGGTTAATACAAGTGTTTGGAACTGCAAAAATTTATATAAAATTCTGCAGTTCCCTCTTACTACCCCTGTGACTGAGTCAAGTGAATGGACCTCTTTCAGCCTTTGCATTCCCCTCCACATGTGGGATGATCAGACCCCACTTTACAAGAGTCTTTTGAAGTTCAAAGGACATAATGTATGTTGAGCGTCCAACACAAAACAGATATGTAACAATGGAGAACTGAAAAATGCCAATAAAAGAGTAGTTCAACTAAAAGTATCTTTTTAAAAAAAACTATGCTTTTAAAATTTTTATTGACCTTGATAAATAGTATTGCAATAGATTCTACAGGTCATGATTAAAGTTTTATAATAATGTTGAGCTAACAGTAAGATACAATGGGGTTACCAACAGGGCTCAGAAGATACACCAAACCCAACTTTTATGAAAGCATTTGGTTTCTTTAAATGCCTTGGAAGATGTAAATTATTGTTTGGGGAGAAAACTTCTCATAAACTTCTCATAACATTGCATGGAGAGATAAACCACTTGCTTTGACCATCTACCTTTTAGATACAAATATAAGAACAGACTTCCAGATCTAGCTGAAATACATTTGTAGGTGGAAAGTGTTTGTGAGGATAGAAGTGATTTGGATTGAGTAGTTGGAAGAAAATAGCAAAAGCACAATAAACACCACAGAACCACATCACCAAGATGTCCAAATGCAGAAAAGTAAAAGTAACTTGCTTTGGCTTCAGTGATGCTATCCCAATGAAGGGGAAATGTAATGGCTCCTCCTTCTGCAGATTCTTTTAATTTGGCCAAAGAAACTTCTCCTTACCTGCCTGCTTTGGTGATGATCATCTCAGTTCCAATGTCATGGAACCTCTTCCACAGGTCGGCACATTGCAGCTCCACCTGAATCTCCTCCATGGAAGACATGGCAGCAGGCACGGGGCCCGCAGCTCCTGTGGCCAGGTCAGCTTGAGCGCTGAAGGAGCAGGAGGTCCGCTGAGTGAGGACCTCAGAGTCTGAACCAGTGCTCTGCTCCGAATCTGCAAAGTAAACAACCAGGTCTTAGGTGAGAAACTACTCAGCCCTGAAAGACGAGGGTCAGGTGGAGTGGGGAGAAGGTGAACAAAAGGAGACTTGAAGTTGGGAAGCTCCAGAGTACAGCACTTGGAGAATTTTATTATTTGTTTTATGGTTTGTTTTTGTGATTTATGACCTTCTTTCAGGTTTCACATTTCCAACATGACATCTGGCATTTTAGTAAGTTTTAGCAAGAGCTGAAGAAAATTGGTCCACAACAGACAATACAAGTGTCCTAATATCACCAGGTTAAAGGGAATGAAACCAAACTGCGTTGACAGAAGTAAACACAACATTAAAGGAAGATAACAAAGACTGTATCTCTAAATGTAGATTAGGCTGCTTCATCAGGGAGAAGGAAAGAGTCAAAGCTAACAACACCATCTTTCATTCCATGTCACTCATCCTCATGGTCCAGCAGTCAGTTATTTTTTAAACAGAGTGATTTTTCTCCTATTCATATATACCCTGGTCCTCAAAAGGATTGAAAAGTTGTTTGGGATCTTTAGAAGCACTTTGTCACATATTTGAGTAAATGGTTTTTCCTAAAAGTCCAATCAGGCCATTTTTGATGGGGGGAAAAAATCTCTGTTATAAGGCAAGGATATAAGCATATGGAAAAAGTTACTTGGGAAGGCAGTTGAAACAAATGGAATAAATGAGTTCGGGAGACACATTGATTGGTTTCTGAAGGATGGCTGAGGGGAGAGGGTGATCCAAACAGGAAGGTGGAATTCAGAGCAACCAAATAAAAAGCTGGCGTGCTGTGCCAGATGGTCCGTCCCTGTGTCTTCTGTATGCACAGCGAGAGGTGGGAGCAAAGAGGCAGAAAGATGGAGAGCTTGGAATTGGATTTACCAAAGAATTCCCAGAATTTTTTAAATTCTAGGGTTCTAATCCCAAGAACTCTTGAATCCTAAGATTTTCCAAGTTGAAATTAGTTTGTATAAACTTCTTAGGTCAAATGATACTCCTAACCTAGCCTAGGAACTTATTTCTCTATCCTTCCCTTAATATCCAGGATTCTGATAACTTTACCTATAAATAAATACATATTTAATACAAAGGTTGAAAACAACAGCACATTACTCGGACAAATCACTTTTTAAACTATGTTAACGAATAAAAATTACACAAATTTATGAATACAGTGTTGATGTTTACAAGTGCTGTGTAATGATTAGCAGTTTAATTATCATTCCGTTTCCTTAAACATTATTATTTCTTTGCATTGGGTTTTCTTTTTATTATTTATTTATTTATTTTGGCACCAGAGATTGAACCTAGGGCCTTTGCATAGAGCTATATATTCAGTCCTTTTTAAATTAATTTTATTGGTACAGTTTAGATATTCATAATGGTCACATCCATTATAGGGAATTTGTACCTCTACATGATGTATCTTGATTCCTCTTTTTTCCCCATTGCCCTCCCTCCCTTCAACTCCTCTTCCCCTCCGTATTTACTTTTTCCATTTTATTCTTTTCTCATTTTTTTCTTGTCCTTTCCTTCCCCCTAACCCCAGTTCCTCTTTCCTTTTGAACAATTTTTTCCTGTTTTCCAATATTAATTATACATTTTGGTCCTTATTTACACTTTTCATTACTTACAGCAGAGAGATAATGAAATATTTATGCATGTGCATCTGATTTATTTCACTTAAGAGTATAGTCTCATAGTGCATCCATTTACCTAGAAATGTCTCAAGTTTACCCTTTTATGGCATAGTATTCCATTATATAAAAGAACCACATCCTTTTTATCCATTCATCGATTGTTGAACATTCGGGTTGTTTCCAAATTTAGCCATTACAAACTGTGCCCCTATAAACATGGGTGTCTATATATCACTGTAGTATGATACTTTCAACTCCTTTGGGAAGATACCCAGAAAAGGAATATCCAGGTCAAATGGGACATCTAAATTTTAATTTTAAGACAGGGCATCACTACATTGCTGTTTCCCAGGCTGGACTACATCTTGCCATCTTCCTGCCTCAGCTTACCAGAGTACAGGGATTACAGGGGTTGTCACCACCATGCCTAGCTTCTTTCTTTCTTTTTTTATTCAAGACAGAGTCTCACTTTGTAATTTAGGCTGGTCTTGAACTCATTACATAGCGAATCTGGCCTTGAGCTCGCAGGCATCCTCCTTCCTCAGCTTCCCAAGGGACTACAGCCTTGTGGCACCATGCCCAGCTCTATTTTCTTTCTTAATTAAATTTCCTTTTCAACTGATACATGAAAACATAAAAATGGTCTACATTAATGGGGTAATGTGATGTTTCAAATACATGTACCCATTACATAATTTTTAAATAATCTTAAACAGGTCCTATCTCCTCACTTGTCATTTCTTTATGGTAAAAACCTTTCAAATCCTTTCTTCTGTTTTTTCTGAAATGTACAGTGCAAAATTATTTTCTGTAGTCAACACACTATGAAATAGTAACCCAGAACTTCTGGATTCCAACTATAACTTAGTACTCATTCATCAGCTTTTTCCCATTCCTTCCTTTCTCTTACTCTCTCCAGCTTCTGGTAATCATCACTTTATCCTCAATTTCTACAAGATTTTCTCAGATTCCACATATGCATAAGATCACATGGTACTTGTCTTGCTGTACCTGGCTTATATTGCCTAACAAAATGAGCTCCCATTCCATCCATATTGTCACAAAAGATAGGGTTTTGTTCTTTTTATGGTTGAATAGCATTTCAGTGTGTATATATATGTACCACATTCTCTTTATCCATTCATCAGTTGGTAGACATTTAAGTTGCTTACATTCCTTGCTATTTGTTTACATTTCTTTGCTATTATGAGTAGTCCTGAAATAAATAGGGGAGGGCAGTTGTCTATTTGACACATTGATTTCATTTCTTTTGGATATATACTCCATAGTGGGATTGCTGGATCAAATGATAATCTCTTTTTTGTGGAATCTCCATACTGTTTTCCATAATAGTTATACTAATGTATGTTCCCACTAACAGTCTTCAAAGATTCCCTGTTCTTCACATCCTTGCCAGAACTTATCTGTTTTTAATAATAACCATCTTTACTGGGATGAGGTAATATGTTACTGAAGTTTTGATTTGGACTTTTCTGATGATTACTGATGTCTGGTATTTTTTCATGTGCCTCAAGACTACTTGTATGTCTTCTTCTGAGAAATATCTATTTAGGCCTATGGGAAATGGCTTCAATGTCATCAAGGGTCAAAACTTCTTGGATATCAGTCCTTGACACTAGGAAGATGGAAGAAGGATGAGACAGAATGCCAGATCACCTTGCTGCCATCGTCATTTACCTGTAACAAGTTTTTAGACCTGTAAACAATACATTGCATGGTTCCTTTACTTTTCTTTCTTTATAGCAATGACTTGTTTCTCTCTAAAATCTAGGCATCACCTCTGGTAAGAATATCCCACAGCTTTGTCAGAGTCCAGAAAGAACAAAGTGCTTCTGTACTCTCTGATTCGTACCCATCACTTCTGAACGTATCCAGGTTGCTGCCTAACTGAACCAAACTCCTAAATAAAGGAGAAGTTTGTAGCTAAAAACTTTAGTTTATCCATAATCACTAGTTCAATCAGTATCTTCATTTAAAGAAAAGTTTTATAACTAGATTGTAGATGTCTAAGCAGATAATTTTATGCCTTCTAATAAAAAAGGTTATCTAAGACAAGAGCTGCTGCTGAGTGATAAATCTCCATTCTATCCTGATTCTGGGTCACTTTCAGTAGCAGAACCATTACATCATCACACACTTAACCAAACACAGCAATTCAGATCCCCGAAGACATAGAAATCCTCACTTTTTCTGCAAGTAAATGATAATGCCACTACAACATACAGGAATCTGTGGGACACAATGAAAGCAGTTCTACATGGGAAATTCATAGCAGTGAATGCCCATATTAGGACAACAGAGAGAACTCAGTTAAATAACCTAATGCAGAACCTCAAGCTCCTAGAAAAAGAAAAGCATAACAAACCCAAAGGTCATAAAAGAAAGGAAATTATAAAGATCCAAGCAGAAATCAATGCAATGGAGACTAAAAGAACGATACAAAAAAATCAATGAATCAAAGAGTTGGTTTTTTGAAATGATAAATAAAATCAATAAATCTTTAGCCAACATTATCAAAAAAAGGAAAATAAAGGCTCAAATCCATGCAATTAAGAATGAAAAGGGTGAAACCACAACAGATCCAGCAGAAATCCAGAGGATCATCAATTCCTACTTTGAGAACCTGTACTCTAGTAAAATGGAAAACACAGAAGAAATGGACAGATTCCTAGATACATATGAATTGCCAAAGTTAAATGAAGAAGATATAGAAATTCTAAACACCTAAGTAACAATGAATGAAATTAAAAATGTAATAAAAAATTTAGCAACAAAGAAAAGCTCAGGTCCTGATGGCTTCACTGTGGAATTCTATAACACATTTAAAGAAGAACTATAGCCATTACTCTTTAAACTCATCAAGGAAACTGAAAGGGAAACAAGGAATCCAAATTCATTCCTGGAAGCAAATGTTACTTTGATTCCAAAACCAGGGAAAGACCCAACCCAAAAAGAGAACTACAGGCCAATCTCCCTAATGAGCATAGATGCAAAACTCCTCAACAACATACTGGCAAAAAAAACACAGAGGGTCATCAAGAAGATCATACACCCTGACCAAGTTGGATTTATCTTAGGGATGCAAGGATGGTTCAACATATGTAAATCAATAAATGTAATATACTATAGTAACAGAGTCAAGGACAAAAACCACATGATCATCTTAATAGATGTAGAATAGGCATTTGACAAAATCCAGCACCCATTCATGATAAAAATGCTACAGAAAATTGGAATAGAAGGTCTTTATCTCAACCTGATTAAGGCTATCTATGAAAAACCAACAGCCAACATCATACTAAATGGTC